TACAAATCCACATGAATGATGCACTCATGCCATTGATGCCTTAGCACTGCCTGTTCTTCACACATAATAATTTCGACGGCTTTTATACACATAAAATCGAGAAATGAGTATAGTGAAAGGAACCCTTCCTCAAAAATTGTTCTGCACCGGAAGGGAATCGAACCACTTCCCTTCACGTCCAGACGCAGTGTATTACCACTACACCACCGGTCCTAACCCTCCAAGTTCAGTCTGACAGCACATCTACTGTGTATCTGCCTTTCAAGGCAAGAAACCCCTTTCTTTCATTCGCTTTTTTTCCTCCGTGGCGGTTTTTTAGCCGGATTCTCGCGGGTTTTCCGCGGTAACAAATGTAGATGGTACAAATCATCAATCCTGGAAATCTTCCCTTCTGCCTCACTCTCCCAACTTATTACAAAGTTCTGGTTATTCATATTTATTTCACCTTTCGAATCGTAAATTACATAAAGGCTTCGGCCTTCGTAGAAGAAAGTCTAATATCTTTTTGTGATTACTAGAGAAATGAATACCTTTCAAGGTGCAGTACAAAATCAGGTAGTGAGCTGAGCTGATCGGAACTCCCTTCATCGCTATTCTCATCACTCGCAAAATTGCCCTCCTTAAAAACAAACGAATTTTTTCTGAAAAATCCATGAAAAAAATTACGAGCACTCGCTTTCAATTGCTAATAAAAGAAAGAAAAAACAAAAGGAACGGTATCGAATCGATGCGTAAAACTCTGTAAAGAAAGAACTAAACTATATTAAAAGACTTAAAAAAACAATTTTAATAAACAACAAATAATAAAATACATTTAAAAAAGCAATAAATCATTCTCTTTTTTGAATTTTTTCGATAAAAAGTCCTGAGCAAACTATTCGAATAAATAGTCAAAAACAACTATTAAGAACAATCAAAGATACCATTCGCGCCAATTTTTCCTCCCATCTTCTTCTTCGCGCATTTTCACCTGCTTGCTCATTGGGGCAATAGAACGATAAGCCAAGATTACGGCCCTCTACGGTTGGATGATATAAGTTGACAAGGAACGGGACAGTGGAGACATCGGCAAGTTCGACGCGCACAAGACCACCAAATGAACTGATCAACTTTTGAAAATCGTTTACTTTTGCAGCAGCCAAATCGTTCATGTTAACATCTGCAAAACGCACTGAGAATACAGCTAAATTACAAGCGATGCTACTTACAGCACGAAAAGACGCGGCAGAACTGGGACCAAGTTACAAAGGCAGTTGGAAATAGCCGGTTGATTGCATTATTCATTTTTTCTTTTTTCCAATTTTTGTTTTGCACTCGGCCACAAACGTACACATACATACACACACAGACAGACGCGCCCACATATCATACATACATAAATACATACATACATAAATACATACATACATAAATACATACATACATAAATACATACATACATAAATACATACACACATAAATACATACATACATAAATACATACATACATAAATACATACATACATAAGTACGCACATACATAAATACATACATACATAAATACATACATACATAAATACATACATACATAAATACATACACATATATACATACATACATACATACATACATACATACATACATACATATATATATATATATATATAAATATATACATACATACATACACACGTATATACATACACACACATAAATACATACACACATACATACACACACATACTTATACACATACACACAAATACATACGTACACACATACATACATATACACACACAGAGTTCCGATAATATGCTTCTTGTATAACTGTTGCAGCATAAAACGAGTTCCACTCGTCCTGAGAGAGCAAGAAAGGCAATCGATCGACAACTGATTAAACTATCCCATTCAATTCAGTTCAATGTATAACTTTTCTGGCTCCGTTAAAGTTAAGTTGTTAAAATTTAAAAGTATATTCCCCATTTTTTCAGTCAATGCTGTCTTATGTAAAAAGACCTCGAGGGAGAGAGTTGGGGGGGAGGGGATGAAGGGCAATTTTACCCGCAGAATACCACGCAGAATTATTATTAAAAATAAAATCACTGCAATGCAACATACCTTTCATGCGACAGCGCATAGCCAGTGGTGGCAATCGTCCAAAAACTTTGAGAAGTGGGCGAAGATTGCAAATGCTGATAATGTTTTCGGTGCCTTTGTCCACAAGATCCACTAGCACAGAATCTCCTTTGGAAAACTTCTGGATCCGTGCACGTCGCCATTTTTTGCCGCCCAATAATACTGCACAAGCAGCACCAGAGCATAACTGCAAAGCATTTTCAGCAAAATAAAAGCAATTTCTTCCCACCAATTTATTCTCTGTCTGTCTATGTTTGCAGCTAAGGGATGAAACACAGATTGCAAACTTACGTTCACCTTATAATATGTAATTTCCAACAATCTCCCCAGGCATAAATTTTATTAAGACTATCGTGAGATTTCGCCAAATACAGGTAAACCCTGTTGAAAATCTGCTTTAGCAGCTGGAAAAAGAGAAATGTGCTTCGAAATCGGCTTAAGAAACAACTAGCGGTTTCGAAACCAATTCAAAGGACGTCTACGCCTAAGGAATTCAATCCAAACAGCAACAGTTGTGTACTGACTATTCAATCCCAAAAGAACGACGTGTATCCAACTCAGTCTATCGGAAGATTTACAGACTAGACATAAACTAGTCCCACCACAGGCTCAAATTTTCGGACTGTGGCCGTTCCACATTTTTCATGCTTCGGACCGTCCGCTTATTTCAGAAATTACGGTTCGGCCTACCAACAGCCGCAAATCATTTTAACAAACTTATCCCACCCTTCGTTTCAACTTTCTGGCTCCGGCCGTTCCATATTTTGATTTCTTTGGATCGTCCATTTCTATTAAGGTTATGATTCCGCCTTCTGGCGACCGCAATTTATCATACCTGATCAGTGGAAAATTCGCTGCAATTGTTTGTTTTGTATGAAGCATGCATTCGCCTGTGCAATCGTTTACGAGCTTCATTTAATGACTTTGGCTGTAAATGTAAGATTACATGATTATTGCTAAAAATCAAAAAACCAAAACTTTTCCATGTTCACCCCCCAAAGAAAGGCGGAAAACTCGAAATAAACCAGGGGTATAAGTAGCTGACAAGGTTTTCGATGGATCCCTCTTTCAAAGGTCGTTTACGAGCTTCATTTAATGAATTAGGCTATAAATACAAGATCACATGACTATTGCTGAAAATCGAAAAATCAAAACTTTTCCATGCTTACTTCCTAAAAAAAAAGCGGAAAAAAACGAAATAATCCAAAGGTATCAGTAGCTGACAAGGTTTTTGATGGATTCCTCTTTCAAAGGTCGTTTACGAGCTTCATTTAATGACTTTGGTTATAAATACAAGATCACATGATTATTGCTAAAAATCGAAAAACCAAAACTTTTCCATGTTCACTCCCAAAGAAAGGCGGAAAAAAACGAAAAAAACCAAGGGTATCTGTAGTTGACAAGGTTTTCGATGGATCCCTCTTTCAAAGGTCGTTTACAAGCAAGCTGCTGGAGGTTTGACATAAAATTGTCAATTTACCATGGAAGAACTGTCAATACCAATTTACCATCGAAACGAATTAACGAGCATCATAGAGGGATTGTTTGTTTCACTGGCGGATTCGAATTTCGACTTTTTGCATGGCAGTAGCGATACTTCACTATGCTATGCCCATCAACAGGTGATATAACGCCGGAAAATTTGGATTTCAAAC